ACTCTGGTAATTTTCAGATGATTAGATTGAATAAATTTGGATGAAATAAATTTTTATTTTCGTTTTTACCAAATTTTGATTGTCTGATGGCGTACGGGTGAACCTGCTACTACTAAAAAATGGAAATAAAATTCTCTATTCTTCAGGATTGTGTAGTGTTCAGTCCCTACTAGAACTCTGGTAATTTTCAAATGATTAGATTGAATAAATTTGGATGAAATAAATTTTTATTTTCGTTTTTACCAAATTTCGATTGTCTGATGGCGTTTCGGTGAGGGTGCTACTACTAAAAAATTGAAATAAAATTCTCTATTCTTCAGGATTGTGTAGAGTTCAGTCCCTACTAGAACTCTAATAATTTTTAGATGATTAGATTGAATAAATTTGGATGAAATAAATTTTTATTTTCGTTTTTACCAAATTTCGATTGTCTGATGGCGTTCGGCTGAGGGTGCTACTACTAAAAAATTGAAATAAAATTCTCTATTCTTCAGGATTGTGTAGAGTTCAGTCCCTACTAGAACTCTGGTAATTTTCAGATGATTAGATTGAATAAATTTGGATGAAATAAATTTTTATTTTCGTTTTTACCAAATTTCGATTGTCTGATGGCGTTCGGCTGAGGGTGCTACTACTAAAAAATTGAAATAAAATTCTCTATTCTTCAGGATTGTGTAGAGTTCAGTCCCTACTAGAACTCTAGGTAATTTTCAGATGATTAGATTGAATAAATTTGGATGAAATAAATTTTTATTTTCGTTTTTACCAAATTTTGATTGTCTGATGGCGTACGGGTGAGGCTGCTACTACTAAAAATGGAAATAAAATTCTCTATTCTTCAGGATTGTGTAGAGTTCAGTCCCTACTAGAACTCTGGTAATTTTCAGATGATTAGATTGAATAAATTTGGATGAAATAAATTTTTATTTTCGTTTTTACCAAATTTCGATTGTCTGATGGCGTTCGGCTGAGGGTGCTACTACTAAAAATTGAAATAAAATTCTCTATTCTTCAGGATTGTGTAGAGTTCAGTCCCTACTAGAACTCTGGTAATTTTCAGATGATTAGATTGAATAAATTTGGATGAAATAAATTTTATTTTCGTTTTTACCAATTTTGATTGTCTGATGGCGTACTGGTGAAGCTGCTACTACTAAAAAATGGAAATAAAATTCTCTATTCTTCAGGATTGTGTAGGTTCAGTCCCTACTAGAACTCTGGTAATTTTCAGATGATTAGATTGAATAAATTTGGATGAAATAAATTTTTATTTTCGTTTTTACCAAATTTCGATTGTCTGATGGCGTCGGGCTGAGGGTGCTACTACTAAAAAATGGAAATAAAATTCTCTATTCTTCAGGATTGTGTAGAGTTCAGTCCCTACTAGAACTCTGGTAATTTTCAGATGATTAGATTGAATAAATTTGGATGAAATAAATTTTTATTTCGTTTTTTACAAATTTCGATTGTCTGATGGCGTTCGGCTGAGGGTGCTACTACTAAAAATTGAAATAAAATTCTCTATTCTTCAGGATTGTGTAGGGTTCAGTCCCTACTAGAACTCTAGGTAATTTTTCAGATGATTAGATTGAATAAATTTGGATGAAATAATTTTTATTTCGTTTTTTACCAAATTTTCGATTGTCTGATGGCGTTCGGCTGAGGGTGCTACTACTAAAAAATTGAAATAAAATTCTCTATTCTTCAGGATTGTGTAGGTTCAGTCCCTACTAGAACTCTAATAATTTTTAGGATGACAATAAAGTTTTATTTTCGTTTTACCAATTTCGATTGTCTGATGGGCGTTCGGCTGAGGGTGCTACTACTAAAAAATTGAAATAAAATTCTCTATTCTCAGGATTGTGTAGAGTCAGTCCCTACTAGAACTCTAATAATTTTAGATGATTAGATTGAATAAATTTGGATGAAATAATTTTATTTTCGTTTTACCAAATTTCGATTGTCTGATGGCGTTTCGGCTGAGGGTGCTACTACTAAAAAATTGAAATAAATTCTCTATTCTTCAGGATTGTGTAGGTTCAGTCCCTACTAGAACTCTATAATTTTAGATGATAGATTGAATAAATTTGGATGAAAATAAATTTTTATTTTCGTTTTTACCAAATTTTGATTGTCTGATGGCGTTCGGGTGAGGGTGCTACTACTAAAAAATTGAAATAAAATTCTCTATTCTTCAGGATTGTGTAGAGTTCAGTGCCTACTAGAACTCTAATAATTTTTAGTGATTAGAATAAATTTGGATGAAATAAATTTTTATTTTCGTTTTTACCAAATTGATTGTCTGAAACTGCTACTACTAAAAAAGAAATAAAATTCTCTATTCTTCAGGATTGTGTAGTGTTCAGTCCCTACTAGAACTAATTTTCGTTTTTTACCAGATTGTCTGATGGCGTTCGGGTGAGGGTGCTGAAAAAAATTCTCTATTCTTCAGGAATTCAGTCTACTAGATCTAATTTTTTAGATGCGTTCGATTGTCTGATGGCGTTCGGGTGAGGGTGCTACTACTAAAAAATTGAAATAAAATTCTCTATTCTTCAGGATTGTGTAGAGTTCAGTCCCTACTAGAACTCTGGTAATTTGCAGATGATTAGATTGAATAAATTTGGATGAAATAAATTTTTATTTTCGTTTTTACCAAATTTCGATTGTCTGATGGCGTTTGGCTGAGGGTGCTACTACTAAAAAATTAAAATAAAATTCTCTATTCTTCAGGATTGTGTAGAGTTCAGTCTCTACTAGAACTCTGGTAATTTTCAGATGATTAGATTGAATAAATTTGGATGAAATAAATTTTTATTTTCGTTTTTACCAAATTTTGATTGTCTGATGGCGTACGGGTGAACCTGCTACTACTAAAAAATGGAAATAAAATTCTCTATTCTTCAGAATTGTGTAGTGTTCAGTCCCTACTAGAACTCTGGTAATTTTCAAATGATTAGATTGAATAAATTTGGATGAAATAAATTTTTATTTTCGTTTTTACCAAATTTCGATTGTCTGATGGCGTTCGGCTGAGGGTGCTACTACTAAAAAATTGAAATAAAATTCTCTATTCTTCAGGATTGTGTAGAGTTCAGTCCCTACTAGAACTCTGGTAATTTTCAGATGATTAGATTGAATAAATTTGGATGAAATAAATTTTTATTTTCGTTTTTACCAAATTTTGATTGTCTGATGGCGTTCGGGTGAGGGTGCTACTACTAAAAAATGGAAATAAAATTCTCTATTCTTCAGGATTGTGTAGGGTTCAGTCCCTACTAGAACTCTGGTAATTTTCAGATGATTAGATTGAATAAATTTGGATGAAATAAATTTTTATTTTCGTTTTTACCAAATTTTGATTGTCTGATGGCGTACGGGTGAACCTGCTACTACTAAAAAATAAAAATAAAATTCTCTATTCTTCAGGATTGTGTAGAGTTCAGTCCCTACTAGAACTCTGGTAATTTTCAGATGATTAGATTGAATAAATTTGGATGAAATAAATTTTTATTTTCGTTTTTACCAAATTTTGATTGTCTGATGGCGTACGGGTGAACCTGCTACTACTAAAACATATTATTATATATAATTTTAAAAGTTAAATAATTATAATAGTTTATTAAATATAATTAATAAATCTTCTTTTTAATAAATAAAAATAAAAATTAATGTTTTAAAGTATTAAGATAAAATTTAAAAAAATACAAAATTTCAATTTTTTTATGAAAATCTAAAATATTTATTAATTCTATAAATATTGATAAAATATATACTTTATATACATGAATCAATTTGTTTTTATGTCAGGAATGCAATTTTGACAAGAATTAATGAAAATTTTAATATAGAAAAAAGTTATTTTAAAAAATTCAAAAATTAATTTTTTCAAAAATTAAAAAATTGTTGAAAAAAATTTTTTTTAGATATTTTTGAAAATCTTTTTGTCTGATTTTTAGTATTCATGACCGTAATACACCTACAAAATTTTATCTAAATCCGTCAAGACGTGTAAGAGAAAATTTGTCCACAAGAATCGGTGACATACACACACACACACACATACATACACACATACATCCGGACATTTGTTCCTCTCGACGAATTATATATACTACACTTGAAAATTTGTAAAAATAATTGATGCTAAAAAATTCGGAAATCGACATCACTATAAGGCTTCCTTTATGAGGAAGCAAAATAATGAAAATGTGTGAAAGAAGAAGAAGCTTTGATTTTTTTCGTTATAAATGTTGGAGAAGAAAAAAAATTGAACTCAATTTCAATTGAAAATGCAATTTTCAAATAAACGAGAGTCATGAAAAGTCGTGCCGGACGTAACGTGAGTTTGTATCACTGGGATTTTCAATTATCATACACAATAGTAACAACATGCATACTCTATATTACCTTTGGAGATACAGTCGTGAAACACAGAAGTGGAAATACCGAGGGAACAACCTGGGATTATATGGGTAACCTCGAGAGTCTACACCGTGAAATATAATCAGAAGCAAACTAGAGGAACGACTCTCGTGAATCTCGATACATAAACATGTATATAAATTAATACAAAATTGTTCAATATTTCCTACATCACGATTGTTAAAAAACTACTTTATATTTTTTTCTCTATTTTCGGTAAAATCTAGATTTCTAAAATAAATTTTTTCCCACTTCCTAAACTTCAAGTAATTAAAAATAACTAATTCGATTTTCCCCGGATTTTCCCTGACTAATTGAAATTTAGAAAGTACTTATAAATTACTGAATATATTTGGGAGAATTAAAAATAAAAATGTGAATCAAAAACTAAATAGAAATTATATATTTAATTTTCTGTGTTGAATATTCAATTAGAGTTAAATAATAATATTATGTTCTACAAAAAGCATAAAATTTATTATAATAATTATAATACTAAGTTTATAATTCTGCTGGAAATAATAAATTTCTTATAATTTCTGACGAATTACGGAACTTTTTTATTAAATTTACAGTGCACCGTTTTGCAAATCAACAGTGGAGATATTTGACGGTTCCCAGGAAGGAAGTGTACCAGGAACTGTTAAGATGTTGAAGAAAATTTGCAGTCCAACTCAAAAATTTGACCAAGATTATAAATTGCCTAATAAGTAAGTACAGTTTTCTTTTTCTAAAAAAAATCCCTAGTCGCCAAGAATCGAACCCTGTCCCTACTGTTCCTGCGAGTCCACTAATGAAACCACTAAGCCATCTCACTTGACAATGACTAAGAGAGAGAAATTCGAGAATAAAATTTCAAATTTTCCATTTATCGAATTTATTAGATCTTCTCAAGTACAATTCGCAATCTCCAAATTCCTATTACTTAAAATTCACAATTCTGAAAAGCTAAAACTCAGAGCACTTTAAATTCAAACTCTTAATTGCACTTTATCATTTACTGACCCATTGTTATTTCTTTTTTCTAATTCACATAAACCCATTCTTGAATATATATCCAATTCATACAACAATCTGGATTTGCTTTTATAGAGTGTATCCTCTTGCAAAAAAGAACACGAAACAAAAAAAAAGTTGATTTAATGAACCTTTTAATTACTGAATGTTTATTCGGTTTGTTTTTATATGAAACTGAATTAATTCAGTGCACTTTCAAAAGCAATAAAGATCACGTTTTCATTGAAATCTCCATGGCAAAAGCGTTTTAACAAGATTTTTAACTTTTATATGAAATTTCAAAAGGACTTGAAAACTTTTAATCGTATTTGTAAAATGTGGTGGAAACTTTACACTTCACAGCGACATATTTTTCATGGACGAATGAAAAAACTTTTCATACTTTTTTAATCTTTAATCAATATTACATTTATGTATTTATATATGATCTATATATTATCTTAAAAACAAATTTTTTTTTTTATTTACTTTTATGTAAAAAAATAAAATTCAGATTCTAAAAGTAAATATATTTTTTGTCTCTATCGTTTCAGTCGTATCACGTACCTATATGGACGTAGTGATAAAATGCACATCTCTCTCTCTCTCTCTCTCTCTCTCTCTCTCGAAGTCAAAGCATGAAAGATAGCTGTATTTATTGTACTCCCAAGAGCATTATGTACCTATAAACGTATGACGTCGTATAACTGTGAATATATCTCTATTTTATATACATATATATAAATAATATTATTTTATATACATATTTACTTGTTTGTGATTGTATATGTAAAAGATCTTACTCATAGTAAGAGATATAAGAGAGAAACACATTTGTGAATATATATAATACTAGCTGTCGTACCCGTCTTCGACGGGTTGTAGTTTCTGATAATGCACTTAACAAAATATCTACCAACCTAGAAAACCGGAAAATAGCCGGGAATTTGATTTGACAGGGAAAAAATAATAATTAGTTACTATTGTCTATTTCATTAGGAAAATAATACCATTTGAAACAGTGACCGACTTTTTATTATCAAATTAGTTATTTTTAACTAATTCAAATGCAGAAAACAATATTTCTCAATTTGTAGTACTTCAATCAATATAATGTATTAAAATCAATCTAAAATTTCCTCCAGTTTTTTGAGTTATAGTACAGTCTAATTCGAACTAATTGTATAGCAAGTAGATCCAGTTTTTCTCGGTTACATTAAATTCCCTGATATTTTACGTCTTTTCTGGTTGGTAGACACCCTGTTAAATGTATTATTAAAAAACACCCGTCGAATAAACCAGGAAAAATTTGGACAAAGCCGGAAAATGTTTTAAACCAAAATAAACACCGTGTTTAACTTTTGTCTTTACATTGATCAAGATATCTCTAAAAGTTAAATCAGAGAGCCCACAAATACTATTGAATTAAGCTTCATAGCAATTGGTATCAAGATAATTTTTTCAATTTTTTGATATTCAAAACATTTTTATACTTACATCTTCGTTATAAGAAAGTATTTTTGAAAAATTATGCTAAAATGTGACTAAATAATATGTAATATTCAATTATATAAAGTTTAAAAGCTATCCATTGAAAAATGTAAAATTTAGAAATTTTCGATTTTTTAAAAATATTTTTATATTTCCATTTTAGTTACAAAGTATTATTTTTTGCAAAATTATGCTAAAATGTTAATAAATAACATGTTATACTCAACTATAGAAAGTTTAGAAGCAATCCATAAAAAAATATAAAATTTAGAAATTATTTGTGTTAAATAAATTCATTTATTAGAGTCAAGTATTTATTTAATTAATCCAATTAAGATTTATTTGATTTAACTAAATAAAATTATTTAAACGAAATAAATTTTTATTAGATCGAAATAAAAACTTTTAAATAAGATATTATATTACTATTAGGTATTAACGTAACTTACAATCATAGCCTTATCCGATTAAAAAATATTAACTTGAACGAAAGTTATGACATTTTTCCAAAAAATTCGAAAAATCAAAAAAATGCAAATTTTTTATCTTTTGTAAAATAAATGCAAAACTATCATTTGCTAACTTTTTCAGATAAATAAAACCCATTTCTACAATAAAATTTTTAAAAAAGACGTATTTTGAAATTTTTTTTCGTTTTTTTAGATCAACTTTTTTCTAAGAAAATAGTGATTTTTAATCTTTAAGCAAGCTTTTCAGGAAAAGTTATTAAAGTTTTTTATTTAAAGATCAGTATGTAAAGTAAGAAATTTGCTACATTAAACCAAAATAATTAAGCTAAATGCCATAAAAAAGAAGAAAAAATGTTAAATTTTAAGAAATTCGGTTTTTTGAATTTTTGCTAATTTTCCATAATTTTAGATTTTTTACCGAAGGGTGGAGACTATTGAATAAGTAAAGTATTTTTTAAGAGCACAAAAATAATAAAGCTAAATGCCATAAAAAGAAGGAAAAATGTTGAATTTTAAGAAATTCATTTTTTTGCATTTTTGCTATTTTTCCATAATTTTAGATTTTTTACCAAAGGGTGGAGATAACAAATTAGGTTAAGTATTTTTGAAGAGCCCAAAAATAATGAAGCCAAAAGCCATAAAAGAGAAGAAAAAATGTTGAATTTTAAGAAATTCCGTTTTTTGAATTTTTGCTAATTTTCCATAATTTTAGATTTTTTACCAAAGGGTGGAGACTATTAAATATAAGTAAAGTATTTTTGAAGAGTACAAAAATAATGAAGCTTAATGATATAAAAGAGAAGAAAAAAATGTTAAATTTTAAGAAATTCGGTTTCTCGAATTTTTGATAATTTTTGATTTTTTGCTAAAGGGTGGAGACTATTCAAATAGTATAATTATACTACCGAAATAGCTAATGGTTACTAATTATTAATTTTCCGGTGAAATTAAATTCCCGGGTATTTCTGATTTTCCATATTGGTAGAAACATTGTTAAATGTATTGGTAGAAACTAAAACCCGTCGAAGACGGGTACGACAGCTAGTGCTATATATTATCAAAATTTTTAAAATTTAAAATTAATCTTTTGAAATAATTATTGTCATCAATTTTACTTAAATTTGATACAGGGTTAATTTTAGTATTTTTTATTACAATTTAGTCATCAGAATGAAATTTGAGTTTTTCATTTTTTGATCATTAATTAATATAATATAATAGCAATTTTGAATTCTGTGCAATATACTGACAAAAGTCTCATATTAATTATATGGATATTGTTAATATTCTGACCTAATAGAATTTTTTTAAGAAAGTAAACTTATGATTTCAACAACAAATTTTTATTGTTGACCTAAGAAATACAACCGTATAAAAATTAATTACAAAAAAATTTCAATTTTTAAACTTTTAATTTTTTAATTTTTCAATATTTAAATCTAACACTTTTTATTTGTTATTCAAAATTTTATTATTCTGACGATTAAATCTTAATAAGAAACACTAAAATTAACCCTGTACCAAGTTTAAGTACAATTCACTAAAGTATATGAAAAAACTAAAAATTTCGAATTTTCGAATTTTTGAAAAAATGGCATAACTTTCGTCCATATTAATATTTTTTAATCTACTATCGCTAGGATTTTAAGTTAGGCTAATGCCTAAAAGACTGCCAAGTTTCACTTCAAACGATCGAACCGTTTTTCCGTGATACGCGGTCGAAAATTTACGGACATACATACACACATACACACATACACACATACACACATATACACATACACACATAATTCTCTTAATAGTATTTTCGCATTCCTTAGAGTGTAAAAATAAGGAATATAATAGAAATTTTGAATTCTATGCAATGTACAGACAAAAGTCTGATTTTATTAATAAGGATTAACGTATCCTCATCGCCTTTTATCGAGGTCTATGTCAAATTAGGTAATTTCGAAAACATACATGTGACCGAACACGAAAAGTTATAATTTATCCTGGGCTTTGAAATTATCCTAGTTATGTTTAATCAACCAGAGAAACTAATTTAACAACTCAATTAGAGTTTAATTTCGCAAGAATTTTATATATGCGGGACAAAATTTCTACAGTGATATCAACCTCAAATATATAAAGGTTGCTGAAACAGTGAATTTTTGACAAATTCGTTAAAATTAAATACCTACAACACATCATTATAAAAGATTGCCACAAGAATAGATTTAATAGATTTTTAAAAACAAATTTTTTTGTTTTCATTGTGGGCAAAAACATGAAAACAATGCGGGGAAAAAGCAAAATTCTTCCCTTCGATAAAATTTTTCGCTTTTATAAAAAAATTTTCTTTTATTAATTATTTGAGCAAAAACATAAAAACAAGGGGAAGGAGGAAAAAAAATTCTTTCCTTTAATGAAATTTATCGGTTTTGAAACAAATTTGTCTTTTTTTTTTACTTAGGGCAAAAATTTTAGGGCTCGAACCGCAGTGAAAGTTTTGGAAAATACGGACTTTACGGACAAAAAATGAAAAATTACGGACCATTTACGGACCAATCACTGACAAAAATATAAGTCCGAGTCAAATAAGAGAATATTTTACTTAAAACTAAAAATTAAATTTTTCATAACTATAAAACACGAAGATATCGATAACTGATCGATTTCTTCATGTTTTATAATAATTAAAGAAGATTCAAGCAATTTTTCGAAAAAGTTCTTTGACAATTTTTAAATCAATTTGTTCACAATATTCAATT